GGACAGTGTGTGTTGTGTCCTTGTGTATTCTGTCTGAAGCCCTTTGGGGTCCCTCCAGGTCACTCTTTTTCTTGGGGGAGCAGCATTAAGGCTCTCAGGAGATCTGCACCTTGGCCATCTGCCTGTGGTTGGAGAATAGGGATCAGTGGATAACTTATGGACTTGTTTGCCTGTCAGACTCTGAGGGGAGGAGAGGTCCAGGCTCCAGCTCATAGTGAAAAAAACCACTTGTAGAAATGTATGGATATAAGAAATGGGAAAGGATCTCTGGAGGCAGTTGCACCTTGGAAAACAAAAAATTGTAGATTAAATGTGAAAATAACTAAAGTCAAGCTGAGCTGGAGGGTGCAGGAGGCACTGGGTACATAAATGTGCAGAGAACACAGCAGGAGGAGGAGGCATTCAGGTCAGACAAAGGGAGAGGGGATTAATGGCACTGCCCAAGCCCTTGTGACTCACATTTCAGGACAGATGATGCTGATAATTAATACAAAGGTGCAGACAGTTGCCTAAAACTCATACTGCTGTATTTTAAGTCATAAAGCAGAAGAGCTGGTGCACTTGTTTTGCATAAAGCATTCCCATTATGCAGGGATATTATTATTAACAGTGCGAAGGGGTAAGCATGAGGTCATAAAATGTGTGGTTCAGTGAGTGACTTTGACTGCAATTATGCATTAGGGAGATTAATGAGAAGGCTGACAAATGAATAGGTGATGCATCTACATCTAACCCTAGTAAAGAGCCCTCAAACCAGTGCTATAAAAAGTTTGTCATTTATCTTCTTTATCCACTGAAGCAGATGCAAATTAAGTTTCTTTTCTTCTTTCATTTTTTTTCTTTGTTGTCTTGCAATGGTTTAGTTTTGCAGCACAGTTTATGATTTGGTTTGTTTTACTAGAATGCTGTCTGATCACAGGGTTGAACCATCTGACCTCCAGAGGCTTTTTCCAGCCAGAGTTATTCTGTGGTTCCATGGCCAGTAAGCACCAGGACTCTCTGTTGAACATTTCTGCTGTAGAATCTGTTCTGCCAACTGGAGCCTATGGAGCCCCAGCGTGGGGGATATTAATAGGTTGCTTATTTAACTCAATCAGTCAGTACAAACTACAGATTGCCTGAGGCTGGAAAAAGTATTTGTGTCCTCACACTTGTGACCAGATATCTGCTCTGAGAGGTGACACGGGGGAAGCAGCCTGTGCCACTGCTCTGAGGTCCTCAGCTTACATGCAGGGATGAATCCCTAGCAGATAACATACTGCTTGAGGAAGTGTAATACAAATGACTCCCTGGATCTGGGTATGGCTGGAGAAAAGCAAATGTAATGCCTATGGTTAAGAAAGAAAAAGAAAAATCATTTGGTCCTATATTGGGTCTTCAGACCTGACAGTTTGTGTTCAAGGAAAAAAAGAGAGTTCTATATTTTAATGAAGAATAGGTGGAATGCAACATGGATTTAAAGAGCAATTTTTCACTGTGTGTCTGATTGCCTGCTCTGCTGTCTCTATACAAGCAGAGGTGATAACATTTTGGAGAGAAGGCTTATTTAGGCTAAGGAGCCATGCAGGCATGGTGCAAATCAATGTGAATTGTCCAAGAAGAACAATGGTTGAATCTTTTTAACTGTCAGAATAATGGGGCTGTGTAATTGCCTTTCTGTCTGAATACAAGGCAGCAAGACCTAGAGACTTAAGACAGAGTGAGCTTGTAACAGGACACATTCTGGCAAGTGCAGGATGCTAAAAATGAATGCAGAAAAAAAATAATTGCTTTCAGGCCTGTGTATTTAAGACATTGCTGCCTTACTTCAGTTGTGCTGGCTGAGTTCTGCACCCTCCCAGGAGAAAGGCTCTTCCTGTGGGTGTAGGCACTCAGCCCTCACCCTCCTGTTGTGTTAGGAGTGGGTGACTACAGAAAAAATAGACTGGACACAGAAAGGCTCTTTGCAATTGTGGGCAGACAGCTGTGTTTCTCTCCCCAGCAAACCTAAAGAAGGAAATCCAGCAAGGATTGTGAAAGGATGAAAGGATTTGATAATGCCCAGAAATACCAACCATGGGAAGCACTTGGGAAAATGAGTAGGAAGTTAGTGGATTTTTCTACCTGTATAAAAATCAGGAAATGGTGACGAAGGTGCTGATAATGCAGTAATTGAAGACCAAGCCAACATCACAGAAGTAGAGCTGCCTTCAAGGTACAAATGCAGAGAGGGAAAGGAGGACACGAGGAGTCTGTAAAGGATGGATGGAGTGGGTATGTCCTGCTGCCTTTTCCCCAGGTTCCCTGCAGCTGAGCACTTGGGCTGCTGTGGCAGGTAAGGTGCTGGGGACAGACTGGAGGGTTCAGATGGTGCAGATACCTAATCCCAATGTGTGGAAGGTCTGGCAAGACTGGCCAGCTCTAGTTGGATGCAAATAACCTGGAAGTTCCACTGGAGTAGCTAAAAGCTGAGACTCTCAGGGTAAAAAACCTAATGCACATCTCTAAAACAGGGAGAGGTGATTTAATACCACAACAGACCCACTGCAACCTGAAAGGGACCCAGTACAGACATTGTTCAACAGAACTGGCCTGGGTGATGCAAGGCTAATAAAAATAATTCATAGAGCTGTGCTGGACCTTGCTGCAAATAGGCATGAGGTGAGCAAGGCTAAAAGAGCTAATCTGAGCATGTTGTTTGGCCTCCTGGACATGAGAATCCACAGAGCCTGTTCTTGCAGGAACAAATGTATTAAGATTTTACAGGCAGAGAGGGCAGGCAATACAACCTGGGAAAATTGATATTGCTAATACCTACACTGTGTTTTCCTCAGTTCTGTGTTTACTGGGGATTATGGAAAGCTCTGAAGAGAGCTGAGTGGCTTGTCAGCCACAGAAAAGCAAGTTTGGAGCAGTACCTGTGTGAGTTCAGTGAGATCTGAACCAAGGGGACATGAAAGCAGAAGAGGATGCAGGGAGTGCTTGTGTGAGACTCAAACATCCCTTCCACAGTGCACAGAGCCTTCCAGATGATTTGTGGTGATCTGCCATGGTGCTCTCCAGGGTGAACAGTTTGCTCTGAGGGGACACTGCACCTCCAGCGACTCCAACCATCCTACACTCACCTCTGTGCCCACCTATGAAGGTAGGTGGGGAAGGGGGCCCAGCCTTTTCCCAGCCCCTTGCTTTGGTGCTGTGACTGCCCTGGGGGTGCACACTGTGCACAACCCTGTGTATTGCTGTAGGCACCTGGGAATTTGCCAGGTGTGGCTGTAGATCTTGGCTGCAATGTGATGCAGAGAGGCTGTGTGGGCAGTGCTGTGCCTGTGTCTGCACAGCAGCTTGGAAGTAAAATAGATGGCTAATAACAGTGAGCTTAAAACAACATGTTTGCAAGCACAGCAGAGAACATCCTGCTGACAGGCAGGTAGGAGCTCTCAGACCAAAGTCAGTGTCCCTGTGGAGATGTGCTCAGCAGGTTCAGAGCATGTCCTCAGTGTGCTGCCCTGTCCCATCACCCCAGACGTCTGGAGCTGTGCTTTGGGGTTTTCTGTAATTATTTGGGTTTTTTTTTCTCCTGCTCCCTGTTATTTTTGGAATAAGCCTAGTAAGTGGATTATAGCCCAGCAGAGGGAGAGGTGGTCTGAACTCACAGGTTACCTCTTGCCATCCCTGTGGCCTGGTAGGGAGCAGCAGCTGTGCAGCACAGATGTGTTCTGAGTTTTGGTGTATTTGTCACATTGAGACCAGGGCAGTGACTGTTTCCCAGAAGTGTCAATGATTCTGAGAGTGAGCCAGTGGGGCAGGAAAGCAGTGGGTGCCATTGGTGCTGAGCAAAGTGACACAAGGACATCCTTCCACCCTCACCAGATCTTTGCATATGGGCTGCAAGGTCAGCCTTGTGAGCAGAGCCTGGTGGACAAACTGTTATTCATCCATTGCACTTTGCTGTGTCTCAGATGGGGAAGAAGGAGCTCTAGGGCCATTTCCTCTGTGTCCAGCAGTTTCCTTCCCTCAGGACAGGCTCCATAGCAGTAGTCACCTTGTGGAACCCTTGCAAGGGGCCACAGACTTTCAGCATCAACGTGGTGGGAAGGCAAAACACAGTTCTTAACACATCTGAACTGGTTTGTCAGCTCAGCCACCACAGCCTAGGAGAGATGGAGGTCACAGATCTTTACTTGTCTTGTTGCTGGGGTGATGATTTAGGGGCACATCACAGAGTCTTGTGCTCTGCTCCCCATTACCTGAGTGGGGACCTGGTTGGGCTCACTGCAGCTGCTCAGCACTCTGCCCTGGGTTTCTGCCCATGTAACCTGGGATGCAAGTGGGCAGAGGAGGGTGGTTTGCAGTACCCAGGTCTCATTCCAGTGTGTGTTCAAGTTAGAATCTTGATTGATGCAATGTGCAAAGCATTTTTAGACAATTAAATAAAGAATAGGCACAATTTTCTAACAAGTAATGTCATTTAATGAATGATACACTCTAGAAAATAGAAACTACCCAGATGCTGGTTGGTTGGTCTGTTTGGGGCTGGGAGAAGGCCCTTGCTCAGATGTACAATGCCTTCTTGGGATTCTTTTGTCACCATTTGTAGTTGCTGGAGACAAGGAAATGTCCGTAGATTGAAAGAGACACTAAAGGAGCAATTGTTTTCTAAAATGTGGGAAGTGTGCAGGATCCCTTCCCACTCTGTCTCGTTGGGCAAGTGGCATGAGGCCCAGAGCTCACCAACATCTTTACAGACAATCCATACCTAAAAGGGACAGACTCAACCAACAGTACCTACCACAGTTCAGTCCTCTGAAATCATGGGAAACCTCTCACTTTGCACAACAGCTGTGGGCTCTGGTGTTATTGCACTTCTTTCTGTGTGCTTTTCTGCACGTGTTGCGTCTCTTCCCTCAAGGTCTGGCTGCTAATTCCAGGGAATATGCTTTTCAGAATGTCACAGTACACCATGTACAGCTCTGGGTCTATTTTGGGCTTGGGCAGAGAGCAGGAGTTGCAGGCCTGTTCAGTGACTGGGTGCTGTGGCCGGTAGACATCGCTGAAGAGTGCAGTTAGGATCTTGTGGGCAGCCTTGTAAGGGTCATCCTCAAACTGCACCATGGCCTTGAGTTCTGTCAGGGTGTAGCCATTGTACCTTTTGCTGTCCTCGGCCAGGGGCTGCACCGTCTCACCAATGTGTCTCACTTTCCACTTCAGGCATTTCAGGTCTTCTTTTACATCCTCTAGCTCTTTCTCCATGGCTTGGAATTCCTTTGTAGTTACAAATCTCCTGCCAAGGAAAGAAGTGGCAGAGACAGTGTGGAGTTCAGAGGCTCAGAGGAGTGAAATCAGCCCAGCTTGCCTGGGGTCGGAGCAGAGAGGTGGAGGTTTGGGAGGGAGATACCAGCCATGTCACTGAGCACCATCCCCAGCTCTGATCTGTCAGGCTCCACAGTGCCAGCAGAGTTTCCCTCTGCTGGTGTAAGGGAAAGATGTGCTGTCTTGTTTGGAAGGAAAGGAGGTACCTTAAAACTGTGCCCTGTTGGAGGAGCTGAGGTTGACGACCTGGCCCAGGGATGGTCTGGAGAGCTAAATGAGTGTATGGAAAACAGGGTATTTTTGCTTCTTGGATGACAGGGTTTAGTGGGAGCACAGGGTAGTTACTGGAAAACAAACCCTGGGAATATCTAAATCGTAAAAGATAGTTAACTGTTTTTAGGAGGGATGTTTAATGACACTGGACCAGGATGGGTCATTTGAGGACTTAGACACATGTGTGGTCTGGATACATACCTTTCATGATCAGGATCTTCCAGATCTGATTCAAACCCCTTTCCTGTATTCTTTAATTCCATTTTAGAATTGCCAGGAGCCTGGGAACTCTCTTCAGGAGTCTTTGTTGCTGGAGGCCTTATGCTTGTCCTGGTTGGGGTCAGTGTGTGATCTGAAGCTGAAGCTGGTACGTTTTGTGCTGTGTGAGGACAGAAAGTGTAGCAGGAAGCTGCATTGATCCCTGGGCTGACTGGAGAGGAGTCAGAGTATTGCTGTGGCTTGGCTGAGCTGGGTGTTAGGCTGTGCCTGAGACTGGCTGGGCAAGACCCTGGAACAGTCCTTGCTCCGAGTGGGCTGGAACACGATATTGCTAAATTTGTATCTCTTTGCTCAAGTGGTTGAGGGTTTGGTGATTCTCCTGGGGCCAATCTAGTGATGGAGGTGATGTCCAGCAGGGTTTGATCCTGAACCATGGAGATCTGGCTGGTCAGTTCTGATGAAAGTGAAGAGCTGCTTGATGTGTCGCTGGAAGAGCTTGACGTAGCGAATGGGGGGATTTTCTGAGCATTATGGTCACTCCTGTTCCTCTGCGGGCTAGTGACACTTAGAGCTGGGTGTTGTGAAGCCCTAAAGAAAGACAAACACACACTTTTTCCTCTGGACTGGGCTAAAGGCTTATAAGACAACTTTAGGCCTAGTTTGGGACAATTTTAAACCTGTTTCCCGTAACTGCATTTCCTCATAGGCTGATTTGCCTCTCACATCTGTATAAAACCCTCTGCTTCTCATCACCAAGAGCAAAGTGTTTGAGAGTAAGGCACATAAATTCAGGACCAGTTCTTCTTGTCAGCTATCATGAGTGTGATAATCACTGGAACATCCATGTTCTCCTACCCAAAAGTCACACAGCTCTGCAAGAACCAAGGATTTGATGCTGGGGAAGGATGGGAAGGGAAGAAAGCTACTGGCATACTGACTGTGAGAACACAAAAGGCTAAAACTCAACTTGAAGGTTGCCACAGTACCTGCCCCTGATCATCCCTGCAAGCTGTGAAGACCTGCCTTTGCCTTGGACCCACATACTTTGGTCTACTGGTAGCTCTACCAGGTATGGAGTGAATTGGGGGATGAGTGAACAGGTAGGGTAGAAAGAGAAGTGCAGCATAGAGTGACATCACTGTTCCTGTGGTGATATTACAGGTCATTTCTTCTCTACAGCTCAGAGTGTTTAGGACTTTTCTCTCTCTCTGTAAGCTGTAAACTGTGTACAGAACTGACCAGGTACTTTAAATGACTGGAAATGCCAACTGCATGGGATGCCAGACTACCCCTCCTGGATATTGTGTCCTGTACTTTTCTCCTGTCCCCTGCCAGGCAGAAGAGATCCCAAGGCACTTTTCTTTTTACTATGGCTAATTTTTATGTAGTTTGTCAAACCTGATGGCAAGAGAGGAAGATGTACCCCTGTGGCCTGGAACTGCCCTGATAGGTAGCAAATGCAGCTAGAAATGCCTTCAGCTTGAAGGAGAGCTCAAAGATCCCCACTGTGCAGATCATGGTCCAGGATTTCTAACAGCCAAAGGACATGGCAAACTTTTGTAGTGATGTCAGTGACCAACTGAGTCTTCTTGTGCCTCTGGTACATTCATAGTTCTCTTGTGGTAGAAATCAGTAGAAAATCCTGGTCTGGATGGGATATATAAGACCTAGTGCATGAAGTCCTGTTAGCACCAGTGGCTTGAATTAGCTACACAGTCACTTCTCCACTTCCCCGAAGCTTTCTCAGTGTTGGATGCAATTAAATGCCAAATTTTAAGGTCCTGAAGAGCATATCTCACACCTCTGGGCTTCAATAGGGTTAATCTGCTAAACCACAGCTTAATTATCAGGTTTAAATCAAATTTAGAGGTTTTATAATTGGAAAAGCAGACAGTAACAGAGCTACTGCATAAAAAGGGAGCCAAAAAAGAAGCATTAGATGAGGTATATAAAAGGCAGGAGGGAAAGCAAACACGAACCCATCAGAGGGAGCACTGGTCCCTGGGACTGTCTTGCCTTCAGAAACTGGCTGAACAGGTCTGAAAGGCCAGAATAGGCAACTGGATGTGAGGAAAAGCTTTTTCACCCTGAGGGTATTCAAACAATGGGACAGAGGCCAAGAGAGGTACTGGGATCTCAATCCTTGGAAGTGTTCAAAACCCAACCAGACAAGGAAGGAAGCAGCCTGATCCAGCCTGGATGTGCTGGGAGCATGGGACTGGCCTTGAGCCTTCTGGAAGCTCTGTCCACCCTGTGTTATTCTGTGATTCTGCCTATGAAAATAACTTATTTTCCCCACAATTCCCCTTGCTTCTTTCACTTTCCTCCCCTCTGTGTCCCATCTCACCATCCTTCTCTTCCACTGGAGCCTCTGGGTTGTCCCATTCCATACTGACTTTGTAGTGCCTGTTGCAGAAGAATCCCTCATAAATTAAAAGATCTTGAAAGGAAAAACAGTGTTACATGCAACCCTGTGCCTCAGAGGGATTGCTACCCCTTCCTTGCGTAAGGCAGAGCTGGTGGCTCAGGCTTTGGAAGTGGGAGCATGGGCAGCTTGGAGCTGGGTTGCCTCTGGAAATTGAGCTGCTGTTTCTCAGCCTCTCCTGAAAGTGAAGAATGATGGTTTGGAAGATGTTGTGTGGTGTTCAGAGAGCTGGGATTTGGCACAGGGAAAGGTGATTGGTATTTCTCACCAGAGGGACTCAGAAACCTTGGCAGCTGGTGAGGATCTAGAGCCAGAGCTGCTGGCTGAAGGATCCATCCCAGGGAGTGGGCACAGGGGACAACTGGCTGTTGGCTCAGGGTCTGCTCTGGGACCTAGAGAAGGAGTGGAGAAAGGTCATCTCCTGGCAGAGGACACAAAATAACTGGTTATTTAAATCAAAGCTGAAGCTCAGACATTCCTGAACCTTCACTACAAAATCCCTCATTCAGGAATATCTTTTTGCTGTAGCAAAGTGTAGTAAATTATTCTGACAAGAGCAAACCCCATTTTAAGGCAACTAGAATGAAAATGCACATTGTAACTTTTTTGTTGCTTTTGGTTTGCTTGGTTTTGTTGGGTTTTTTGTGTGTGTTGGTTAGGGGGTTTTGGGTATTTTTTTGTTACAAATATCTTCAAATGTCCTCAGGTATCTCACAGTGTGAAACTATCTGAACATTAGGTGAGCAACAATCCCTACCTGCATTCTGGGGGGGAAAATATAATATGCACAGTAAGCCAAAAGCTATTTGGTTGCATATACAGCCATTTGACATCAGTGTGGGACAGGTTTGGCTTTGGGGGGATGGTGATTTGGGAAGTTTTTTTACATAAATCCAGGATTAGCTGTGGGAGATGAAACATTTATTGAAAGATGCAATTTAAAAGAGTGATAGAAAGCAGGTTTCATAACTAATCCCATGGAAATTTGTATAAGAGATCTTTCCAATTCACCTGTGCACTGAAAGAAAACAAAGTATTAGAAACTATCAGCTGTTTTTTCTTTCCTTTCCCACTCTTTAATTTTCCTGGGCTGCCATGCTAGACAGAGGACAGAATTTGCTTTTATCATCATACTTATCTTGGAAGCTGAGGTGCTTTAGCTTGGCTTAAGAAGCAATGCTAAAGCAAAATGTCAGTCTGGATGTTAGCAGAGGTAAATGAGGACAGAACTGAGCCCTTTAACTCTGGAGTTGAGATGGGCATGGGTTTGCCTGAAGACAGGAATGAGCTTCCCATTGCTGTCAGTACAGCAGGGCTGGAGCTCAGCTCTGTAACCATGGTGCTTTATCAGAGGAGATTTTTTTTTCCCCCCACCTGTTTTCATGTCGTGAATCACTACGAACTGAATAAATTACAGGAAGAATCCCAAGACCTGGAGTTGAAATCGATGCTGACATGAAATAGGCAGCGATTGCAGCTGTCAGGTACCTCCACAAGGAGAAACCTTGGCTCAACTTTGAGCGACACTTCAAATGCGTCAAGCCCTTGTTGTCTGCCTCCTCCCAGCCCTGTGCCTCTCAGCATATAAAGCATCTTCCCCGTTGTCACAGTGACCTTGGCTGCCGTCTGTGCCTTGCCCTCTCCAGCTGAGCTTGTGCAACAGACTTTTTGTAGCCCAAATTTGGAGACATTTGGAAGTTGCCTGCACATCCAACACCACTTTTCTTCCATGGCACTTGCGATCGAGGGCAAAAAACCCCCAGTGCATAGTCTCTTTTTTTTAATGAATCGTTTCCACCATGTTTTAAATCTAGAATTCTTCTGTTGAACTTGTCTGAGTAGAAGAAGATTACACTATGCTTTGCAGTGAGGCACTGAGGGGCTGGTTGCATAAATCTTACTGTAGACAGCCGGGGTGGGAGGTTGGTAGAAGAGCTGTGGGATGGACTCAGGGGAAATGCCTACAGGGTGATGATATGAGAATAAACCTATTTTTTTTTCAAGGCCTTCTCTCTGTCAGGTGACCCTCCTCAAATGCCCACGCTGCCAAAACAGTGCCTATATTATTTTTTAACGCTGAATTAATTTTGAATAATCTTTCAGTTTTCCACGAGAGAAGCTGGTGTCCTGAACCCTGGGTTTGTCTGCCTCAGATAACACCATGGCTGTTAGCCACAGGCAGCAAGAATGTGCTGGCTCCTGCTCAGCTCTTGGCTCTCCTGGGCTACCTGTCTGTTCCTTGGCTTTACGACCATTTTCCTCCTTGTCCTTTCTGATATTTCTCTCTCTTACCCCTGGTCCTACATCTACCATGTGTACCTCTCCCATCTGCCCTGTGGGTTCCAGACTTATTATATTATTGCCTCGTGGGGGAAGAACACTGGAGGGAAGGGTGGAAGTGGCATGTACATACAGATATCTGATATCAGGCACTACTGCTATCCAGAGCCTAACAGTGAGTATTTCTTGGTAATAAATAACAGTGGAACAACCAAAAAAAAATCCCAGTGTGAAATTTCTCCTTCTGTTTTTTTGTGCAGCAGCTGTGCACAGCTGGAGGATTGAGATTTCCCAGCTCTGCACATCTGAAGAAGTTGAGACCTCCAAAGTCAAAAATGACAGCAAATAGACTTTAAGAGTGTTTAGGGCTTTGCAGTGGAAATGCTAAATTTGGTAGGAGCAGATCACGTCTGGGGTTATCAGATGTATAGGGGCCAGTGCCATATGTTTGCACAGGAAGGCAGCTTGGTGAGAGCAGAGGATGCCAAGTTATAGCTAGAGCTCCCTGGTGCTGTTCTTAGCCCAGCTGAGGCAAGTTTAAACCCTGTGAAAGGGGTTTAAAGGCAATAACATGTTTTATTTTTAACCCTGTTAAAGGAAATTTAGCATTTAGTGATGGACGTTCAATGGTTTAGTATAGAATTATTGAGACTGAAAAATTGCACTGCCCTATCAAGACTCCTCTGGAATGAAGATTCTGATGAAATTTATAAACTAAGGCCACTTCTCAAAACAGAGAGCTTAGTCTTGCCAACAGAGGAACCTGAGATCCTGCCCTGGCGTAAGGCCCTTTGTGCAACCTGCACTCCCACAGTGCTCCTGAGCTGCTCAAACACCTTGAACAGTCTCTCTTCCAAAGCCACCTGGCCAGCTGGTGTTTGTCTTCTCCAAACACTCAGTCTTGTTCTTATGCTTTCACTCCTCAGCGACACTCCCCCAAGTCCTTGCCTCTCAGCAAGGACAGCTGTCCTGTTTTGCCTTTGTGGGAGGACAGAAAAAGCCGTGATGCCTGAGGATGAGCAAATATTCCTTATATGCTCTTTGGTTCAAATTAGAACAGCCTCAGGGCATTTCTAAGTGAGGGTAGTTGGCAACTCCTCCAGGGAATGAAACGGTGGTTGAAGGGAGCAGCAGAATAATTTCAGGTGGTGTCCTGAATAATTTCATCCTGGTGTCCTGCTGGCATGGGACCACCTCTGGGTGAAGTGTTCATAAAGTGCTCACAGTGGTTGTCTGACATTTCCTCCACTAGCATTTGACTGAGCAGCAATGAGGACTTGGTCTGTCCTAGTTGATGTGTCCTCTTCCTCTTCTTCCACACAAGCAGACCCCAGATACCCAGCAGGCCAGTGGCTGCTCTGCCTTCAGCCAAGCACTTCTCATGTTGTTCTCTTGCATTTTCAGTTCTCTGCTGGCCATGAGCCTCTTGCATGGGCAGTGTGACAAAGGAGAGTGGGAGCGTGTGAAGCTAGAACCAGCCTTAAGGATAATCCTCAAGTCAGGGACAGACTGGTTATGGCTTGATGAGTTGTTCGAGGAAAGAGATGTTCATCTGAGGGCTGTGAGGCTTTGTGCCATCCCAAGCAGCAGGAACTAATGTTTTTCCTCCCTAATAAGCATGAATAATGAAGATGCTGCAGCTTAGGTTGGATTCATAAGTAAACTGTCAACTGAGAGCAGAACTTCACTTCTGTCACTTCATTAATATTGATCTGATTTCATTACAGTAGGAAACGGATGTGAAGCTGAGCCTGATGCAATACTGAAGAATGGCCACTGTTCTTTAACCTGATACTGGGCTTCTCCTTTGCCGTTTGCTTTCACAGTGCTGCCAGCACACTAAGGGGGTAAGCTTTAAAACTGTCCTTTCAAACTGAAGCACTGGGGCAGGGCTGGTTGTAGGACCAACAGAGCCTTGTTCCTATTCCTTGGAACACCTAATGTCAAGAATTGTTGTTTGTTCTTTGAAACAAAGACCTCTGGACAGGCTTCATAATAACATAAGCTCATTTGAGCACTAGCCAGTAGCTTGGCAGGGAAGGATTTTTCTCAGGAAACATGACCCAGATCAATTTTGTACCAAGAGACATTTTCAGGCCCATGTGAATGAAGGATGTGGATCTGCCTGTGGAAAGGTCCATAACTGACATGACATTTTCAAGGAGCAGGAGGTACCAAGCTGATGACAAACCAAGCTGGGGAGCAGTGCCAGCACTATCATGCCTGTGGGGAGACCACCTGCAGTGACATGGGACTGGAGAGCTGTTCCAGCAGGTCTGATGAGGGACCAGGACCCTCAATGATCAGGATTACAGACACCAAGCTTCCATGAGTATGTGGCTGAGATGTGCATCTCAGCAAGACAGAGGCAGCAAAATGCCATGAGGTTTCCAAATTTTAATAGCGCAGAGTCAGCAAGTCACTTTCCCAAGTCTCCC